GCTGATGAATTTCAATGAGCTGTAAAATAAGAATTCTTCTCTGAAGCTAAATCCTCACGCTTCGCTTGCTTAGTTCATAAATTTATTTTATGAACAAACGAAGCCTGAGTCTTACTCGCCCTCAAACAAAAGCAATGCTCGCTCGGCCATTTCTATTAAAGAATTTCACACTCGACTGGATACCAATTTTCCAAAGGAAGTAGGCAATTTTAGTTCTTGACTTTCCAGGAGAAATTGGTGGTGATTACTTGAGGAAGTTTTCAGGAAATTCTGGAATTGGTGAACTAATTCGAGATAACTTTTCCTTCGTCGCATGGGCTGTGATTACATGGACGTTCACCGCTGATTGTTTCTCAGTAGAAGTTAGGAAAACAGCACATCAAACAGTACCTCAAAACAGCATACGGACAGCCTTCAATCCATTTCATACGGTAATTATGAAATAATTTCATAAGCGCCGCACATCAAACAACACACAGACAATCTTTTTTTTTATTTCATATGCTAATTATATTGAAAAGGTGCATGAGCAGAAATTATTAATTATTATAATTCCATTTAGTTTGATTAAAATTTTATTTATCGCAGTTGATCCTGCCTACAATTAACCAAATTTTTTGCAAACGCTAACAATTGATCAGGTAAACCAACAAATATTTTGAATAAGCACACTTTCACCGCATGGCCCAGTTTCTTTTTGCCGAGCAGCGTGTCTAAATAATACGCACTACCAGCGTTCTTTGGTTGCATCGACCGATGCAAAATTGAGACGAATTCCCGTAGCGCGGTTGCCGGCGGCAGCATGTCAACAAGATGGCTTGGTAAGCGATGCATCTTGCAGGTCCTGAGGACGAGCCTCGTCTTGGGCGCTAGTAAACAACCGCAAGTCAAGGGGTTTATGCTCTTGAGTAGAAAAATTAATCACATGCACGGCAAGCAAACCACGCTGCTCGCTTACATTTACGTTGGACTCTCTAGACGTGATTAGTACGCACATATGCATGTGAGATGATGAACAGAAATTTCAACAAGTAACGATGCTCAAATAAAGGGAACAGTGGTTTCTATGCAACAAAATCGGCCTGGATAACCTTGTAACGTCCCCTAATACTTCATTACACTACAAATTTAACGAGAGACCTTTAACGGCTGGTATGATATAAGAAAGTGATTATGAAACAAACTTCGTCACTTATTCATTCCAACGAATGGTAAATTATTTCACATTATACATAAAATATAAATAAAGATCATCAGGTCGTTAATCGTAACAGGTTTAAGATGAATTTATTGAGACCTGTATAGATTATTTGACTTGAAATTTTGATTTGATAACAGTATCAGGATAATAGAAATCATACACGATATTTTTGCCAGGAGCTCACATGAAACGATATTTTGAAAGGATGACATCAAAGCCAGCTTTATAAAATGCAGTAAGCGATCGTGTTCTCTGCCGTCTGATATTCCCTCCAGATCTGGCACAGGATTTGCCATCGATCCTACAATCGGATCCCCGATCTCGCTGTGATGATCCTTTTGGCAAATTGAAACGCCATTTTTAAAGGCCTGATTCAATCGCGCTTGTGATGTAAAGCGAGTTTAATGGAAACAATCATAAAAATTTTTAATAGATCTGTCGCTTGTTGCAAGTGTCCGATTTGGTCGCATTTCATGAAGCGGCAAAATTATCTCGCGTGTTACCTCTGGCAATCGTAAAACATGGGATTGTGTTCACATTTATAATGCCTATTATGTGAAAAAAAATATCATTTTGATTAACGGAACATAACGACATAATATTTTTGTATCCCACACATGTAAACTCAACTTGAATTGCCCAGTTCAGTTTTGTATCCTTTAAAAGTTCCCAATAAGTTGAAGAGTTGCTTTTGTACAGTGTTACGAATAGAAATAATTTCTTTAAAAAAATTTGCTATAGAAATAATTTCTCTTAACATAATTTGCAAAATTTGATGATATTACGTCTCCTTGCGTTGTTAAATTAATTAGCTGCAATATGACGGCCTAAGGGCCGCAAATGCCATCAAATATGTACTAAGTAAAGCTCCTAAGGATCCACATCACAGAATTCTCGCCGTCAAAAAGACTTCACAAAACGCTTCGAATGATTGCATCGTGAGCGGGCACGAGCGGTAGTCACGCTACTTCGCGTCAATGTCATGCTAACATGCTATGAGGAGACCTACATCGTCACGCTAACATGCTATGAGGAAGCCTACATTGCGAAGACTGCTACTCTGCACAGCTGATTTCCACAATTATTCTTCAGGGATTACGTCTGGCTGTGACCGTCACTCTGTTCGTAACTACCGTGACTGCCTGACAACCATCAAGGCAACTATTTCTAACTATTTCTATCCCAGTTCGATGAGATAAGTTGAAGCATTGCTGTCATTTCCTCGTGTTCAGTACATGCATGAAGCTAGAGCTTTTAGTCCTTGCAAAGTGATATCTTCCTAATACCATTGCAGGTGAGTAGACTTGCCACGTTGAGGAAAAAGTCCCGGTAAGCTTTCAGAAGTCTCATGCATAAAGCTGAGGGCTTGCTCCCGAGGCTAGCTCGCTAGAGGGTTCTGAGTTACGTCAACATCTTCTCAGAGTTAGAGCGCCCGCGGCTCGCTCTGGTAGACACTCTCGAGCATCTTTATGTCTTCCTCGCCATTAATATGACCAGCCAAAAACCCAGGCCCATTCGCCCTGTAAAGGCGACCGCCAAGCGCTGGCTTTCCCAGGCAGTTTCGCTTAAAAATGACGCAGGAGCAGAGAAATGGCGGATGCTTGAGAATTTATGCGAGGCGAGTAAGCTACCTACCTCCTGGAAAACATATCATAAAATAGGACGAGAGACTCTAAAAGCTAGAATTAATTAATTATTGTAGCCAAAGATTCGATGTAGGAATTAATCCCGGCATTTATTATAAAAGTAAAGGGTTCCATTTATTTTCTTTCGAATATCAACCCAGATCTACGCTTGAAAAATAATAATAATATCTTTCCGTAAGAATCAACCTTTAGGTTGATAATTAGTCAATTTGAACATCAGGTATCATTCTGGGTATCATTAAACAGATATTAAAAGACAAACATATACTCAAGGGAAGGTTGAATAAGATTCGTACTGAAAACTGCCTATTTTATTGTAGTATATTCAATGAGCTACATTAAAAAGGCCGAGGGTGAAACCTCTCCGTGAGTTCATATATATATAATAATGTAAGTCAAAACGATTTTCCACTTACACGTGTTCTTCTATGGGCAAAACAAGAAGCATATCTGATGACTCTCCATCAGACAAGAAATGGAAGCAATTCTCTACCCGTCGCTGCACTTCGAGAGGCAATAACATGCTGCGTTCGCATTTTTCTCGACTTAACAAGTTTCACTTACGACTATTTTTTGGGCGTCTTACTGTTTCAAGCATCGTTGGACGATGTTTGTAAGACCTCACGAGCTATTTCGCCAAACGGAGTAAATTTCAAGTTATTTCAAGGTCTGTCGTAGAATAGAGGCGGTAAAAGCTTCACAGGCAATTGGCTTTTATGCAACTGGCAGTAACATCGTAATTTTTTGAGCTTCTGAAAAAGAGAGGCCCCTAAAGTTCCATAGGTCGGCACAGCAATTGCATCAAACTTTATCGAAGTTCAGGGCAAGGTATCGACTACAAAGAAGATTTGTTCTATGTTTTTTTTTGTGAGGGAAAATAATTTTGATAAAGGGTTTTCGAGACTGCAGCTTGAAGGTATGTCATTTTTCAATGCTGATGCCGAGCCAAGCTACTTCCCCTAACAGGTGCAAATCGAATTGAGGAATGAACTGATGTGGGGGAACTGCCACGTTCGGGATTGTTTTTCACTGTTTTCGAGGTAACTTATTTAAGAGCAGCTACAGCAGTGGAAGAGGTAAAAGTAAATTAGTTCTAGAATGGATAGAATTGCTAAAAAAATTTGTACTACGAGCAGTAAAAGCTGACCAGTGCCGATTCAGCACGAAACTTTAGATAGAACTGACTGCACGACTACCGGAATAAAGCTGGATGTCATTCTATGCGTGCGTTGCATTGAGCCTGTAAGTTCACAAAATAATTTGTCGTTCAAAGTTCACGATGAATTATACGATGTGTACTAACAAATTTCATCTAACGGGAAATGAATGTCTCAATCTAATTGGGTAGCTTTACAAATTTGTTTACAGAATTTTGTCGCAGAAATTCAATTTCATGCAGAATTTCAAAATTATTGAGTCCCCAACTTCAAACAAAGATGTGCAAGAGTGCCTTTGATATTCAAGGTTTGCTTTATTAAAATTGGAACTCGTACGACTACGCAAGGCCACTTCGTTGCTAAGGACAGTCGTTGCTAACAGAAGCTTAAGAAACAATAGCGAATATTTCCGTCGAGGAAGCACTGATTATGCAATATGCATTTATTTCTGGGCAGTGTTGAGGTATAACTTTTCAGCTGAAAACCTCGCCGATAATTCTTCATTCCATCAATTTCCAACCATTAAAGCAGCAGTAATCAAACCATTACACCACCATTAGGTTTTAATTATTTTTAGTTCTAAAATATCACACAAAGTGACTCCCAAAATACTTGAAGGGCAGTAAGATTTGGCGTCGAGTGCGCTTGCCCAGTGTCCAATAAACGTAAAAACAATGAATTGGGTAATAAGTTCCCAATTTCATTGAAGACGCCGACGAACGTTCACCTGGCGTGTGTTCTGTTCCCTAGCTTAAAGTTTAAAAATTCGTCTAGATTTTAGAAAATTTATCATTCTCGATCCTCCAACAGATAAAAGGACTAGTAAAGCTAAGTAATTCAGGTGCAAGTCATGTAGGTACACGACTCGCAGAGATGAATGTAGCGGATAAATAATGATTATAATGCATAATTATCGCCATTATAAATAATAAATATAATTAAATATAGTCATTAGACACGGTATACTAATTTTACACGGTATAATGAGTGACTGACCTGATGGCATCCTCCTGCTTGGCGATGGCCTGCGTGTAGCGCACCTCCTGCACAGGCCGGGGCGAGGTACGGCCCAGGTGGTGGTGAAGGTGGGGCGCCATGTGCTGCGGGTGCGATGGCGTCGGAGGGTTCGGGGTAGGAGTCCGAGGTCCGGGGGTTCGAGGAGTGGCCCGACGATCCACTTCGTACATTGGATTTTCAATAACGTCTTGATCGATGGGCGGCTTCTGTTGGTTCCTAAAGTCGTGTCGGGGCGGCGAGCGGTAGTCGTGCAGGCGATACTCGGGAGGGGCGGGAGGTAGCTCACGTCTGCGATACATTTCGGCGAGATTGCTGCAATCGCGACCCGAGAGCGAACGCGTCTCGTCATTGTTGCGGAACTCGGCCGTTTGTCGTAAGCGGGCGGCCTCGCTCGTCGGAAAAATGTCAGAGAGGCGGGATCCGCGACCGTCCAATGATCCGTACAAGTCGGAATGAGATCTCGCAGGCACGGCACCACGTCCGTCCAACGTACCATAAAGTTCGAGCAATCTGGAAACGCGTTCTTGTCCGGGACCAGCAACCGTAGTGGGGGGCGTATACATGGGGGGATACTCAGGGGGAACAGCCGGGCCGTACTCCTGGGGCATTCTAGGGTAGCGGTCAGTGGGAGGCCTCTGCGGCCGGGGCCGCGCGAAGGGATCATCGGGACTTGGAGGACCACCATAACCCGCAGGCGGAGGAAGATCGTCGCGCTCTTTGATGCGGTGTTGCCCGAAGAAATCTTCCTTGTGACGGTTGTAGATATCGTCGAGTTTCTCAGGCGGGAGGTAGTCTCTGGGGGTAGGGTAGTCATGTCTGGGGGTGGGGTCGTGATGTCGGGGGGCTTGAATCTGGTACTCGGGTCTAAGATAATAGCGAGCACCGCGGCCATTGCCACCGCCACCAGGCACTCCAGGTCCTGGAGGACCAGCGGCCAGGCCGCGTCTGTAGTCATCGTGACCATCCTTCACAGGACCTCCTGTCATCTGAGGCACGTGCTTCGTCTGAAACGAGAAAAAAATCGAGTTAAAATCGCTATAAATAAATTAATTTTAATTCTTTTAGCAAATGTAACTAAGATGAAAGGTCGTGAGAGACTCGAGCGTTAATTGTATAAAACGCAACAAATGAATTTATAGTGTTTTGATAAATGAATAAGGTTTTTGAGGCAGGTGCTTTTTGAAGCAACAAAGGAGTACACAGCACCCTATACGCGGGCGTCGGACTCGCACATTCTCTAATCACTAAGTTCAACTTTGTGATCTGACAAAGTTATTTTGCGCTGGCCAAATTCATTTATTTAAGTTTTCTTGAGATGCCGAAGAAAAAATCGTGTGTTATTTACAAAAATCTGCAGCAGTACCTCGATGCTTCAACTAAGAGGCTTCAAACTTCGTCATTCTCGACTTCAAAGGCACGTACAGTGATTGTCTTCCGGACAGCCTACAGTTGGTAGACTATTGAGGCTGGAGCTAAAAACTTGCAGAAGTCTTCCGCGAAAGAACAAAAACCCTTTTCACTTGAACGGGTAACACACGTTTAACTAATTTAGGTAAGAAAATATTTATAATTATCATGAATGATTCCACAGTTTCGTCAACCTCTCACTAGCAATACTTTTTTGCAGTGAAGCCATACCACGGTGCGGTTTTCATCGTAAATGAAAATACCAGCATAAGCGATGATGTTTCATCAGGTTCAAAAATTCTGATGAACAATTTGAGAAAATAATTGGGTCAGGAGTTTTATTCCCAGATTTTTGGGTCATAAATGCAAAATAATGCATAATTTTTAGTAATTTTTATCGGATTTGAGAGGAGAATGGAATGCGATAGTTTAATCACGTCATACTAAGCGACGGTAGTCTTTATAAACAAAAACATCTAAAACAATGCCCATGTAACTTGTCCTAAATTATCTGAAGAATCTATGTTCATATCCTCAACTATAAGTTAAGATTTTGGGAACTGCTGCAACAGGCTGCATCTCGCATGACATTCTCATATTGATAAACCATTTCAGCTAGAAAACTAGCGCACTCTCCCCGTGTTAAAAGAGCGTCCACGACGTCTCACGGTCACTCACATGCAATTGCAGCTTGAATGCGGCACTAGACTTCACTGTTCGGTGGCAGAAGCTCATCGATGAATACCCTCGTCTTTTGCATTTCGTTGGCGAGGCTGTAGCAGCCAAACTTTCCTCCCAATTCACTAAATTTTTAACAAGAGTTCTCAGAGGCAGCCCTCACAAATAGCTTTCCGTTTTGGCGGAGCAAACCACACTTTTTGATAAAACTTCAACGAAAATAATGGACAAGTTTTAGCTTCACTCAAATGAGGAGAATTTACAAAGAAAAATGAGTCACGTTGTTTGGCGCTACTTGGAAGCTCGTCGTGTACATTGGGTAAATAGTTTACTTTACCTACCAGTAGCATTGAATTACTGTGACGAGCGGGCCACGCCAAATCTATTAAAAAATTCAAGGGAATTATAGTCGTTGCATACTTAATTATATGAATAAAGTCCTTCTAGAATCTATGTATTAAAGTGGTGCTTATATACTCCTAACAGTTCAATTCGAGGAAATAGATCACAAACGTCAGTGTGACGTCAGCTTTTACGTCGGCAATTCACTAATATTAATTCCGAATGAATTAATGCGATCCGCCCGAATGAATTGAGTTCATCTGTCGTCGTGTCGATGCAAATTATTTTGGCACAATTTCTCTGGTGAAAATTCAGTAGCAAAAATATCCACTTAACGAAATGGAAAAACTGAAGCGACTTCGATGAACAGAGATTTTTTTATATTGTATAAGGAACGAAAAATGATGTTGCCTCGGTGAGTGAATCATGTTACAGTCAGGCAGAGCGGCAACTAAAATGTGCAGCTATTTATCGAAGGTCTATTCTATTCTATTAAAGTTAATGGCAAGTTTGATCCACTGAAATTTCTTAACAAACATTAATTACTGACCCCCGGACGTGAAACTCTGCCGGTGCCCAGGCCGGTGTTGACGGAAATTTTCATTAAAAAGTCAGTTTGTGAGGCATAAAATGAATCGTTTAATTTTATTTGGCACTTAAACTTCATGGCCCAGAATCTGTGGCTTCCCGGTGATTAAGATCAAATCCTGGATTTCAATTTTACTGCTGGTATGAAATCCGCGCTTCCGTGTTTACAATAGAGTAAACAGCAATATACATGCATGTTCTTGTTTGAGCAGTGCAAAATAAAGACCAGGAAAGACAACAGTTCAATTACAAATGAGAGAAATGAGAAATTTTTATCAGGGAAAACACTATTTGTTGAATGAAGACGAATTTATTGGACAGATTACTTGTGTATTTGCGTGGATAAGAAGTCCAAATAACGTGTAAACTTTTAGATACTATCTGAAAGATGCGTAGTATCTAAAAAATATAATGATAAATAAATGATAAATACAATAAATCAAAATATATATAAACTACGCGTTTCCTTTGCTTATATTCTACTTTCAAATTAGTGATTTGGAGCCTTTCTCTGTGGTTGATCACGCAACGATGACAAATAAGAAAACAATATTTGGCGAAGTCATATCGGTGGTGAATCAAAACTAAAATTACTAATTTCAAGAATCCTATTTCAATCCCTAACAACTCCACCTGTAAGATCTATGCTCCTCTACATGTAAGATCTGTTACCACCAATGGCTACATGAAAACATGTAACACAAGAACAACATTTGATTGAGCAATAAATTTCGTCGTTTCAATGGGTGCATGTCGACACTGCGACCAGCAAAACGCACACCTCGTGTCATTGACACTGCGAACTCAGCTCAGCGCTTTTCGAGCTCAAACCTTCGTTTATGTTGCAAATACTTTAAGAGGATAAATGACCGCTTTGAAACTAAAAAACATTAGCATGTGTGAGTCAAAGAGGTATGGGCGGCACAATGTCTCGCAGAGCGCCTGCTATTTCTCCTTTAGTATCTCATTTTGTAATGCCAGCAATAATATCTCCCTACTGGTTGGTATTATTCATTGGAAAACAAGCTTGGATTTTGCTTTCTGAGGAGTATAGAAGATGTAGGTGACGATTAATTTGAGCCACCATGATTAATCGGACCTATCTTCCATTACTCATCAAGCATCGTTCGACTTAAATTGAGCTAATATCCAACTGCCTAGTCGGATAGTTATGTATCATTACAATCTTTAAAATATAAATGAAAGTCGGGTATTTTTGTATAGGCAACCGATTCTTCTCTAAATAATTTAACTTATATTAAGGAAAATGAATGATCACACAAAGAAAGAGGAAAATATATAGAGGATTGAGCTCTGCTACAGCGGAAAATTTTCATTCCGACAGCGGTAAGTTATCGTCTCTTGGATCCATCAATCTGCGTCACCGCGAAACTAAATAAGCCGAATGGATCGCACAAGATGACCTGGTTAGTAAATGAGGTCAAAAATATAAATGCATCTTGATCTAAATTAGGAAAAAAAAGTCGAGGGATGAAAACTTCTCTTGCGAAGGCACTTTTAAAGATAAATGATTAAAATATGCGTGATGCATATTAATGAGACTTCAAACACGCAAGGTCGGCTAGCAAGCGCTTAGTAATAAGATGTAATTTTTGAACTCTAGTTCATACAAGATTTTTGTTGATCCACCAATAACATTGTTACGTAATAAGAAGTAGATATTTTCTATTTTTCAAACGAATAGTCTGCAGGCGAAAAGAACGTCTGCACTGCAAAGTACAGGTCGTTGGTCTATACTAACTACAGAGCGAAGGTCGCGAACATGCAGGCTTAGGCACAGGTCTGTAGACGGCCAGCGTGATCGATGCGAACACTACACGCAACAGAGCAACACGCACATACGTCGCTATGTTCGCTGCATGCGTACACTCTCTTCAATGTTTGTGTATGCGTACACTCTCTTCAATGTTTGTGTATGCGTACACTCTCTTCAATGTTTGTGTATGCGTACACTCTCTTCAATGTTTGTGTATGCGTACACTATCTTCAAGGTTTGTGCATGAGTACACTCTCTTCAATGGTTGTGCATGCGTACACTCTCTTCAATGTTTGTGCATGAGTACACTATCTTCAATGTTTGTGCATGCGTACACGTCGCCATGATTATTGCAAGCGCACTCTTCCGGAAACTTGATTGCCACGAGATAATCGCAATAGAGATAGAGCGTCTATGAAAGTGTAAATACGTTGCAGATTTTAATTGAAAATATTATTGGTTTTACTCCATCTTAATTGCTACGGTCAAGTCAAATTATCGCAAAAACCTTCACATATGTATAAGCTACGAGTGCAAGCTGAAATTGGGTATAGTTGAAATCTGCCCTGAAATATAGTAACGCGTAAACCCAAGGCCATCTTCAATTGATCGATTACATAATTTAGCCAAAAGGGCGGTCGCAGTGAAAATTATTCAAAAGGGGGTTAAAATTCTCTACCCTCTAGAGAATTTTCTCTACCGCTAGAGAAGATTCTCTTATCTTCTCTAGACCTGGCTAGAGAACATTATTAATTAATAAAAAGCATGATCTGGTCTTTAATCAAACTTGCATAGTAGAGAATTCCTGCACAAAATCTTTTCACACGAGTATCATGAAAAAAAATAAACTGTAGTCAGTATTACCGCTTAAGGTCTTCAGTACATCTTCGGGGACACGTAACTTCGAAACGATTTAAATACTTTGAAGGGATAAACAAAAGGAAGATTGCCGCGGAAGAATTTTTAGAAATGAACAGATATTACCATTAAACTATTATACACAAAATAAACTGTAGATAAACTACAAACAAACTGAAGAAAAAATATAACTCAGTACTCACAGCAGTGAGTGACAGAGCGCATTTTTTCGTCGACGAAAATTTGAGGTCATGGACGGACGGCACGGACAGACGGGCAGACGGACAGACAGACGGACATGGCGAGCACAATAATGCCTTTTATCCATAAATGAGAAAATGCGCTAAAAAGA